AAGATTACATGCCCATGTATGTGATGGTTAATTTCTAGGCTCTCTACCCTGTTCCATTGGTCTATAGGTCTGTCTTTAGGTCAATACCATACTGTTTTGATTACTGACGCTTTGTAATAGGTTTCAAAATCAGAAAGTGTGTAGTATCGAGCTTTGTTCTTTCTCAAGATCGTTTTGACTATTTAGGGTCCTTTGAGATTACGTAAGAATTTTAGGTTGTTTTATGTCTGCAAAAAATGACATTGGGATTTTGATAGGGATTGCACTGAATCTGTTGATCACTTTTATATGACATGGACATTTTGACAATATTAAGTCTTCCAGTCCATGAACATAGATGTCTTTCCATTTCTTTGTGTCTAGGGTTTTTTATCTTTTGCATTCTATACTTCCTTCCTTTTCTTGTTGCTATAAAATGTTTGTATAGTTGCCTTGTTTTATCTTTTCAACTTATACATGCTTAAACGAGCAGTTCAGTCCAGACCTATTTACTCAAATGCTATGGAAGGCAGATCTCCACGAAAGTCTTACTACCTTACCAGCAACATGCTTATCTTCTGAGGCTGCGGTCTCCAACCCCTGGGCTATGACCCGGTATCCTGGCCTGTTAGGAAACAGGCCGCACATCACTACCTGAGCCCTGCACCACACACGTCCCCCTACCCCATGACACCCCAGACACCCACCTCCCCCCATTCTGTGGAAAAACTGTCTTCCATGAAACTGGTCCCTGGTGCCAAAAAGGTTGAGGACCACTGTTCTGAGGTATTTCTGATGCTAGGGATTGTTCTGTCCACTTTTCTGTATCCTAAAGGTTTGGGGAACGGGGAGAAAGCTCAGCTGGCACTATGTTCAACTTTTGTTGGAGGACCAGGGATTTGCTTTCTCTTCTGAGATTTAGTGAAATGTCCCCATTCCAGGGTTCACTATATCTAGTCAGGGATATCTTCTAGTTTTATGAGGCTCTCTCCCCAAATCATCATAGAATGTTGGAAAATGGCAGCCCCTGGCAATTGTTCTATTTCTAGTGAGATCCTGGTGGTGGTAAACAGGGACTTTCACTTGGGGAGGCTTCTATGACTTTTTACTCACCTGTCTACTCACCCCATTTGTTTCTCTCCAAATCTGAGGTATTAATAAGCATTCTCAAGAGTCTATCAACATACCCTTTTTCCCCAACACTATTTCTTAGGGTGGGCACCCGAATCATCATTCCTTTCTTGACTTCTATTTTGGAAATTTATGGCATAAAATCATGTCCGTTTCCTCATTTGGTTGCTGCTGATAAATATTTTGCTGGGTTTTACTATTCTCTTATTTCATTAGGTATTAGG